CATAAGTCGTAAACTTTCCAAGTTTGAAGACCCTTGATTTATATGGTCATCCATCTCACAGTTGCAATTAAAATATTAAAAACAATAGAAAAACCAGTATTACCAAAAGTGTAAAAACCTACAGTAGCCTTCAAGGACAAACCCAATAAGCAATAACAATAATATTTCACAGGTTATCTAATCTTCTAACCCCCATGACCCATATAGACTATGCTCTATGTGCAGGACACTTTTATTGTAAACATTTGTAAAAATGTAAGAATGAGATACATTACTATTTCCTTATCTGGTTTCTCTGGTTCTCCTTGGTCTCTTTCCAAAGACTTCTCACTTTGTGTTTTCTCTTCTTCGGCTTTTTCTTCTTCCCATTCTGATTCCTTTTGTTCTTCATGTTTTCCCTCTAGGACAGTTTTCTCCGCTCCACCTAATATATAACAATACAAATAATTTACATACCACAGAGAACAATGATTTGCCTATTAGTATGATAAATCTGATTACAACAGCCTGCATGTTCTTATTAGTATTGATTCATTATATTTTTGTTTTTTTCAAAATTGCCAGTAGGCTTTCTAAACAAAATAAAACTTCTCTGTGGAGTGCAGAATTACTTGGACAGAACCTGGCATCTTCTACATTTAGTTTTTTGTTTTAAAACACCTATTGTTCCATATGATTTTGGGAACAGTGCTACTGGATATATTCTAGAGAATTCTTAGAAACCAATTTAGAAAGAGAGCCCTTTTAGCTATTAGTTATGAACAGCGAAGACAAGTGCACTGCTGTGACACTATGTCACTAGTAAGTACTTTCAACTGTTTCATTTCAGGATTGTACACCATTTCATTTATAGCTTAGCACGGTTTCAAAATTGCTTTGGGGTGTGAATCCTTCCTCTCCAAATATTGGAAACGAATGATCTAAGAGGCAAAAGGTTGACATACAAGGGATAAGGTAGACAAAGGAGTTAAGTGAATTTTATCCTGGAATCTTTTATTCCATCCACATCAAACATGACTTCATTACACTGTTACATTCAGCAGTTTCATCACTGAAGTCAAATCTGCTGGAACCTGTATTTTAATATTTTGTATGCTTTTTCTTTAAAAAAAATGTCATTAAATGTTCTTGAAATGCTTATCTTCATATTGCAGATATTAGCCATTTAGTGATGTCTGTTTGTCATAACAGGCAATTGTTCTACAGTGATAAAATATATTTTAGTTCATTAGCGGGAATCACAATTTCATTATGTACTCTCTTAAATTACAGAATTCACTTCCTAAGGTTAATGCTATAAACCTTATTTGAACAAAATTTTCATGATATCAGATTCAGTCAAATTTTCATGATTCCATTGGTATGATCGCTCAGGTTCTTAATATAGTATATCAATGAAAGATAAACCATCTGTATTCAATGTTGCCTCCAAACACTATTGTACTGAAATAACAAAATAAGCTGATAGTTGAAAAATAATTGCAAATTTTGTTTCTTTATTGCTATCTTGCTTAGTCTAAAACTGCAGCATATTGAATGCTTCTAGACATAGAAAATTAAATCATTCTTAATCTCCTGCTGTATAATTTCCCTATTACGTATAGTAACTGCTTAAAGAGCAGCATTTAATGTAATTTTAAAACAATTCTACCAAAACGTTCAACTTCTGTGTTTTATAATAAACAAGCCATCTACAAACAAGGCATTCGCAGAAGTGAAGCAAAAACATACTTATCTCCTGCTGTGAAATGCCTGTTGCTGGCATGGAGGCTGGAACATGGTTCCAACTAACTATGTCTCCACATGGTTGTGACACATTGCTTTTGAACTGTTCTGGAATGTCCTCTTGATCTAGAGAATAAATATAAACAAAAACTTCATTATTCTGCAATTATCCAAGCCAGGAAGAAGAGTGAAACAGTGTGGGAATGACTAGAGTTCAAAATGCCTAGTATAAGCTATTAATTAATTGTTCCTCCTGGCCAACCTAACAATTACCATAAAAATGAATAAACCTTCAATGGGTCAGAATGTTCCTTTAATCAGAATCATGGGACTGTCTGGCTTGGAAACTAGTTTATACAGTACAGTTGTTAGTCAAGTAGGTGATTCTACGAATTCAATATAGACTTCCTTTGTTTAAAATGAGCCACAATAAATATAAAAACAGTTTACATTACTTCCTACAATATTTCTTCTTTTATATGTCAAGTTTCCATTTCAACTATAATACATTCCCACTGTCAGCATTTATATTATTGTTACAGGAGGTATGATAAAATTGATCTAAAATTGATCTATAGGTTCAAATCTTGAGCCACACTTGGGATACCAGCACCACGCACATTTACCTACTATAGGTTTCATACTTTTTGGCCAAATCTATTTAAATTCTATTCCTGTAACAAACAAATGCGTTTTGTGCATGTACCTGTTCTTATACTTTTGTGAAAATAAGTTCCTCCAAAATTGCATTTAATTAGTGTCATACACATAGCTTTCCTTTTTCCTTGTTTCTTGCAGTTAACTCAAATCCTACCTTCCATTTTGAAATAATGTTCCTATTGTACACTGCATTTATAATTTCTCAGATAGATGCTTCTATTCTTTCATCCCCAAATTCTGACAATCATTATTTTGCTCCCACAATACTTTTCTGCTTTAAGTTTTCAATAATATTCTATGACAGCTCCATAGATTTTTACTTAGTTCCTAGGGTACCAGTTAACAATATCACTAACACTATATACCTCTTGAGTCAGGAAGGAGCATAAGGCTTCTCACATATAAAACCAGCTTATGCTTAGCATTATTGAAACATGATATTAATTCTCAAGCAATAGTAAACTCTAGGCTATCTAGGCAGGTTTTTCTATCATGTTTCTATCACATTATGGAGGCAGAATACATATCTTCCAATAAAAAGGAATTAAAAGACAATTTATTTCTCGTTTATCTAAGAGAAAGTTTAAATATTATCAAAAGCCAAAAAAAACAAGATCAAATTTTTATGCTCATCAGCATGGGCACTGATTCTCAGAATTAAAAATATTACAATATAAAGAAGAAACTTACAATCACTAACAGGATTGTGGTTTCCTTGGTCTTCATCCAACAACTTGACAGGATTTGCACTGTTGCTAATATTTTGATGATTATCTGGTTCTTGATATAGACTAATAAATAAATAAAATTTAATTTAAGAAAACTATAGACTGCAAGGTTGATCAAATCTGGAAAGAAAAGAGATGTAAAAATATATATATATGGCCATGTGAATTACTGATACCTTAAGTTGATGTAATCATTTTCAACCGATATTGTTTTGCCCTGATTTATAAACACTCTAAAAGAACAGTTGCATATACCCAATGCAATGGGAGGGGAGGATTACTAGAAGATGAATTGTCAAGACAAAACTATCCCTAAGAATAGTTAAAATGAGTAAACTAAAAGAACCTGACAAGGAATAGTCTGTGATATTTTACCAACTCTGAATGATAAAGATGAATCAGAGATAACAAGAAAAGTACTCCACTCCTCTACTCACAATAGAATCCCTTATGCCACCAGGCTTGAAATTTTGGGCTTGGACAATCTGGAATTGTGCCACCTGCAGTCCGATCTAAGCATAGTACACAAAATTGTCTGCTACAACGTCTTACCTTCAACGTCTTACCTACCTACGACTTCTTCAGCTTCAACCACAATAACACACAGGCAAACAATTGATACAAACTCAAGGTAAACCCGCTTCAAACTCAATTGCAGAAAATACAACTTAAGCAACAGAGTGGTCAATGCCTGGAATACTCTATACCCGACTCTCTTGTTACAGCCTCAAACCCTCACAGCTTCAATCTCAAACTTTCTACCGTGGACCTCACCCTGTTCCTAAGAAGTCCGTAAAGGGGGCATGCATAAGCGCACCAGAATGCCTATCATCCCTGTCTTACTGTCCCCATTTATCTGTTTTTACTTCCTTGTTCATGTTTATGTTCATACGTGTATCTGCTATCTTGTACATGTTTGACAAACAAAAAACAAAAAAACAAAAAACCCTCAAATTATAACTAGAAAAAATTAGGCATATCTCCATACTTTAGAGCAGGGGTGTCCAACCTTGGCAACTTTAAGACTTGTGGACTTCAACTCCCAGAATTCCTCAGCCAGCTTTGCTGGCTGAGGAATTCTGGGAGTTGAAGTCTACAAGTCTTAAAGTTGCCAAGGTTGGAGACCCCTGCTCTAAACAATGACAGTAAAACTTATGATGCCCCAGAACACTTTCTAACACGTCAACATAACATATTACTGGGCTTCAAACTCATTCTACGCCAACACTTGCGGGCCAGATAAAGGAAGGAAAGAAGGTGAAGGCTTACTACAGGTCTCCAAACTTGGTAACTTTAAGACTTGTGGAATTCCAATTCTCAGAATTCTGGGAGTTGAAGTCCACAGGTCTTAAAGTTGCAAATTTGGAGATCCATGACTTACCAGATCTCTGTATAGAGGATATTCCACAGGGCAGGGTGCACTTTCTAGCTTTTGTTAGAGGAAAACATATAAGGGACCTGGAGTGTGCCCATCCTATCTGATCTGGTGAAAGAGACAGAGCAATCCTGCAAGTAATGTGGTTCTATGCCATTAAGATCTTTAAATATTATATTTATTGCTGAATCCCTGCATTTGTGAGATGGGTATTTATACTGGTTTGATAACTACATATTATAAAATTGATGAGAAACCTACAGACTACTACATGCAACTTAAATACGCAACTATTTCAGCGACCACGGCAATAGCACTTAGACTTATATACCGCTTCACACAGCCCTCCCTAAGCAGTTTATAGTCAGCATATTGCCCCCAACAATCTGGAACCTCATTTTATCGACCTTGGAAGGATGGAAGGCTAAGTCAACCTTGAGCCAGTGAGACTCGAACTGCCAAACTGCAGTCAGCAGAAGTAGCCTGCATTCTAACCACTGTGCCACAATGGCTCATGGTAAGAAATGTGGAAAATCGTAGTTTATGAACATTTGGGAGGCCATAGGCTTTCCATCTCTATTCTGAAATGTTCTTATAGCATTGCAACAAAAAAGGATATGGCCTGCAGTGACAAAGGCAGAAACAAACCATTCATTAAATTTATCCACAGTCTTCAAGTACATATTATTTGTTAACCACATGTTTTCATCTACTAGGTCAAGAGCAGCATGAGCTATGAATTGATTCAAGTGGCGATGGTCATCCTGAGGGGAAAAAATAAAGCTCAACTCTAAATACTGAAAACAAAAACTATAAATTAACTTAGATATTTTTCATGCATAACATGTTTGCATAATACACAGTATTAATCTACTTCCTTAAACAATGTAAAATATGTACTATAATATATAACTATGAAGAGTATGAATTCAGACTAATGCAATATTAGATTCTAACATAAATACTTATATGTAGTTTGGATTTTTTTTGCAGTTTTTAGGAGAAAAAAATGTGATTCCAAATATTTATACTGAAATATATCCTTTTATACTAAATCATACTTAAGGCATAAAAATTGGTCCAATTTATGTGATAAGACAGTTAGAAATCAAATAAATGGATGTTCATCAGGATAATTAATCCAGGTGGGATGGACAGCTTATAACTTGAATAAATATATAAAATAATGTTCAATCATAACAAATAAAAACTATTAAGTTCCAAAATCAAATTAACAAAGAACCTGAGTGATTGATACAATGATTTGATACTATATATTCTGCATTTGAGCAAGATTTCATACCTTAGATTCTACTTTACCAGCTGGTAGAAATTCCATTTCAAATACAGGATTATCATGGTGACCTACAATTACAAAATAGTAGCTTCCCGACATAATAAAAATATGGCCTCTTCTGAAAGAGAACAGAATCATGCAGCTAGAAAAGAAGTGGTTTGTAGAAAAAAAAATATTGTGACACATATTAAATGTTAAAGCATTTATAATAGTACAGCTAAGTCTTGATTAATGCAGATAATGAATCCTATGAAGTTCTTGCTACTTGATATTATTTGAAGTTGTATTTATATATAAAGTATTATAATTGACTCCACCTCAATGGGAATGAAAATTTTAAACATATATTTTTATTAATGAAATAGTAAAGGTTGGAAAGAAAATGCTTAAAATTTAAATTTACTGTTAAAGTCACAAAATATAATTTTGTTTGAGTAGCATTCCAACAATGCAAAGTTCTTTCCCAACCTCTTATCTAAGATTTGTATCATAAATTCCAGTTCACATTTACTGAAATATCAATTTTAATATTTACATTGTATTCCAATAAATATAGATTCTACTGTTCAACAGTCAATACAAGTTATGAAATACACTAATACATTAGGAAAAACAACCCTATCCTTTTTATATTCTTGTCAGTTGAAAATTTCTCACCATTATTTATGTAAATAATATTTTTAGAAGTATTACTGGGGGATGGGATGCATAATGTTATCCTCACCTTTTCATCTGGCTATAACTATGCTTAAGTTGTTGTCGTTGTTTAAATCATAGTATATTCGATCAGAATAAAGCTTTCTATTTTCAAGAAACTCAGCAAAGTTTCAGAGAATTGTACTACGGTATTTGTTCATTTATGGAGATAATCTGTTCCTCGGGCATCTGATATATAGCTTAAATATAAGGAAAGCTAGCAGAAGGCACAGATTGGGAAATATATTCCAGAATGATCATAATAAAATGTTGAATAGGAAAAACTGCCTACCCAGATGATGCTAATTCCAAATTCAATAGCCCTCCAGTGGCGGGCCAGATAACCTGAAATATCTGAATTGTACACCAGAGATTCCATCTGACTTTCAAGTAGAGATTTTCCAGGGTTAGAAACAGCCTTTTATTTCACTTATTATTATTATTCCCTGTTGAAAATTTCGATTGTATAATGCAGGGGTCTCCAACCTTGGCAACTTTAAGACTTGTGGACTTCAACTCCCAGAATTCCTCAGCCAGTTCAGCTGGCTGAGAAATTCTGGGAGTTGAAGTCCACAAGTCTTAAAGTTGCCAAGGTTGGAGACCCCTGCATTATACAATCGAAATTTTCAACAGGGAATAATAATAATAAGTGAAATAAAAGGCTGTTTCTAACCCTGGAAAATCTCTACTTGAAAGTCAGATGGAATCTCTGGTGTACAATTCAGATATTTCAGGTTATCTGGCCCGCCACTGGAGGGCTATTGAATTTGGAATTAGCATCATCTGGGTAGGCAGTTTTTCCTATTCAACATTTTATTATGATCATTCTGGAATATATTTCCCAATCTGTGCCTTCTGCTAGCTTTCCTTATATTTAAGCTATATATCAGATGCCCGAGGAACAGATTATCTCCATAAATGAACAAATACCGTAGTACAATTCTCTGAAACTTTGCTGAGTTTCTTGAAAATAGAAAGCTTTATTCTGATCGAATATACTATGATTTAAACAACGACAACAACTTAAGCATAGTTATAGCCAGATGAAAAGGTGAGGATAACATTATGCATCCCATCCCCCAGTAATACTTCTAAAAATATTATTTACATAAATAATGGTGAGAAATTTTCAACTGACAAGAATATAAAAAGGATAGGGTTGTTTTTCCTAATGTATTAGTGTATTTCATAACTTGTATTGACTGTTGAACAGTAGAATCTATATTTATTGGAATACAATGTAAATATTAAAATTGATATTTCAGTAAATGTGAACTGGAATTTATGATACAAATCTTAGATAAGAGGTTGGGAAAGAACTTTGCATTGTTGGAATGCTACTCAAACAAAATTATATTTTGTGACTTTAACAGTAAATTTAAATTTTAAGCATTTTCTTTCCAACCTTTACTATTTCATTAATAAAAATATATGTTTAAAATTTTCATTCCCATTGAGGTGGAGTCAATTATAATACTTTATATATAAATACAACTTCAAATAATATCAAGTAGCAAGAACTTCATAGGATTCATTATCTGCATTAATCAAGACTTAGCTGTACTATTATAAATGCTTTAACATTTAATATGTGTCACAATATTTTTTTTTCTACAAACCACTTCTTTTCTAGCTGCATGATTCTGTTCTCTTTCAGAAGAGGCCATATTTTTATTATGTCGGGAAGCTACTATTTTGTAATTGTAGGTCACCATGATAATCCTGTATTTGAAATGGAATTTCTACCAGCTGGTAAAGTAGAATCTAAGGTATGAAATCTTGCTCAAATGCAGAATATATAGTATCAAATCATTGTATCAATCACTCAGGTTCTTTGTTAATTTGATTTTGGAACTTAATAGTTTTTATTTGTTATGATTGAACATTATTTTATATATTTATTCAAGTTATAAGCTGTCCATCCCACCTGGATTAATTATCCTGATGAACATCCATTTATTTGATTTCTAACTGTCTTATCACATAAATTGGACCAATTTTTATGCCTTAAGTATGATTTAGTATAAAAGGATATATTTCAGTATAAATATTTGGAATCACATTTTTTTCTCCTAAAAACTGCAAAAAAAATCCAAACTACATATAAGTATTTATGTTAGAATCTAATATTGCATTAGTCTGAATTCATACTCTTCATAGTTATATATTATAGTACATATTTTACATTGTTTAAGGAAGTAGATTAATACTGTGTATTATGCAAACATGTTATGCATGAAAAATATCTAAGTTAATTTATAGTTTTTGTTTTCAGTATTTAGAGTTGAGCTTTATTTTTTCCCCTCAGGATGACCATCGCCACTTGAATCAATTCATAGCTCATGCTGCTCTTGACCTAGTAGATGAAAACATGTGGTTAACAAATAATATGTACTTGAAGACTGTGGATAAATTTAATGAATGGTTTGTTTCTGCCTTTGTCACTGCAGGCCATATCCTTTTTTGTTGCAATGCTATAAGAACATTTCAGAATAGAGATGGAAAGCCTATGGCCTCCCAAATGTTCATAAACTACGATTTTCCACATTTCTTACCATGAGCCATTGTGGCACAGTGGTTAGAATGCAGGCTACTTCTGCTGACTGCAGTTTGGCAGTTCGAGTCTCACTGGCTCAAGGTTGACTTAGCCTTCCATCCTTCCAAGGTCGATAAAATGAGGTTCCAGATTGTTGGGGGCAATATGCTGACTATAAACTGCTTAGGGAGGGCTGTGTGAAGCGGTATATAAGTCTAAGTGCTATTGCCGTGGTCGCTGAAATAGTTGCGTATTTAAGTTGCATGTAGTAGTCTGTAGGTTTCTCATCAATTTTATAATATGTAGTTATCAAACCAGTATAAATACCCATCTCACAAATGCAGGGATTCAGCAATAAATATAATATTTAAAGATCTTAATGGCATAGAACCACATTACTTGCAGGATTGCTCTGTCTCTTTCACCAGATCAGATAGGATGGGCACACTCCAGGTCCCTTATATGTTTTCCTCTAACAAAAGCTAGAAAGTGCACCCTGCCCTGTGGAATATCCTCTATACAGAGATCTGGTAAGTCATGGATCTCCAAATTTGCAACTTTAAGACCTGTGGACTTCAACTCCCAGAATTCTGAGAATTGGAATTCCACAAGTCTTAAAGTTACCAAGTTTGGAGACCTGTAGTAAGCCTTCACCTTCTTTCCTTCCTTTATCTGGCCCGCAAGTGTTGGCGTAGAATGAGTTTGAAGCCCAGTAATATGTTATGTTGACGTGTTAGAAAGTGTTCTGGGGCATCATAAGTTTTACTGTCATTGTTTAGAGCAGGGGTCTCCAACCTTGGCAACTTTAAGACTTGTAGACTTCAACTCCCAGAATTCCTCAGCCAGCAAAGCTGGCTGAGGAATTCTGGGAGTTGAAGTCCACAAGTCTTAAAGTTGCCAAGGTTGGACACCCCTGCTTTAGAGAATAATGTATATAGGATGGCAAACTATAGTAACTCTCAAATGCTTCAGCTGAGTGAAGTTCCTGAAACAACCTTCGATTAAAAGCAACTGAAAAATCCAGTGTCGTTCAGTTAAATTTTATAAAACAATTACCTTAACTTTTGTTTGTTAGGATGTGGGGATGAACAAGCTGAATGAGGAGATGTGCAGTCTCCGATTCTTAGAATAGGAGACAGAGGCTGATTAGCAATCTCAAGAGGAACCACAAGAGATGAGCCAGTGATATCTACAAAGCAGAAGTCAACTATTTATTCTCATACAATAGTCTTACTCAAGCAACATACCTGACATAGCACCTGAATGCTATATTTTAATGGCTAAACAATCCTCAGGAGACAAGTAAACTGTCAAAATATTCAATATTTAATACTGGAAAAATCTTATGATTTTTTAAAAAATATTCTTGAATTTGCTAAATAAATAATTCAGATTAAATGAGTTGAACATTATGTAGTGGGCCTTCTGTTTGTACTTTAAATGAAACCCCCCCCCTGTACAAGGTGAATAAATGAGGAATCATTAGGAGATTGTTCTAGTTCATCATGGCTCAAGATGGCTGAAAAACAGCAGACTAATTTAAAATGAGCACAGATGCAGGTATTATAGGTTTGGAACATGCATGGCACTTTGAGACATTGGTGCACTATATACTAGTTGGAAGAAAACATTTAATTGTGATATAAGGCAGTAAATTATTTGTATCATTACCTTAATTTCAACTTTAACTCCATGTATGTATTAGACATCAGAAGTGAGAGCAATTTATTAAAATTGAAACACTCCACAGGTAGTTCTTGAGTTATGACCAATCACTCAGCAACTGTTCAAAATTATGGCAGATTTCCCAGAACTGCTTACGATCCAGTTCCAAAGATCCAATATTCATGTGATTGCATTTTGGCTGCTTGGCAACCAGCCAGCATTTATGGCCATTTGCAGCATTCTGT